CCATTGCCTGATGATTTTAAAGAACAGATGACCTCAGCAGAAGAAATGATGATGTGGCGATGAAATCAGAAATGGAACTCGATGGAAGCAGTTCTCAAACCAGAATGTTAGGAATTGAAATGCACCCATTTTTAGTTGACCTCTCCCGTCCTCATGGCCTCATCTAAAGCAAAAGCAAAACTACTAATTTGGGAATATTTGTAATTGTATCTGGATTTTGCAGCTTGAGCTTAGCTCAGAATTTAAGATGTAAGATCAACATGAATTCTGAAGCCAAGTCTGTCACAACAATAGCCGTACTTCCATTTCCCTCAGCAGACAGAAAGGAATATGCCCTGTGAGTTGTTATTTTCCATGATGGAGTAAACACGAGGTGCCCTATCTTTCAGAGCAAAGGGGGAAAAATTATGTGTGAGAGTTGGATGACTTGCATTTATTCGTTTGGAAGTTGCTTAAATTTTCTGCTTAATTTGATTAATTTTTCAAAGCGCACCATGGAAAGGCAACTGGCTTCTTCATTGACTGGCTGGAAATCTTATACCGCTTCCTTTTTCCCCTTTCCCTCTTTTTATTACAGTACAGCTCAAATGCTTGCAAATGCCTAGTGAGCAGTCATTTGAGTTTAGTTTAGAATGCTTCCTTTATTACATATCTTGGATGCAAGGATATGGAAAAGAGTCTTTGCAGTTCTGTCTGTTCTTCTTTGTATGTATTTTGAGTAGTATGCATTCTGTCCATTCATGTATTTCTTAAAAAAAACGTTAGCATTACTATTAATAATATACTGTGAATCATTCTGAAGGGCAGTACATGCTTCACAGGATCGGCTTCTCTTGGGAAACAGTGGTTCAGTTCTCAGGTAAAGACCGATCTTTTGTTTTAGCAATTGTTACGATATTTACGTGTGGTCCTTTCGAAGGAGAAATTATTAATCGGATGTGTGACAAGTGTTTTTATTGGTTGGTTTCTGATACTTTCCCCTTTCCCGATTATACAAAAAAAAAACAACCCCACTAATGGATACATTTAGGGTTTTTTTAAAAAAGAAATACATGGACAGTAGTACTCCATGCAGTAAAAGACTTGAGCGATTAATGCTACCCTTATGCCTCTTTTGAGTAGTTGTAGCCATGGGGCTTGGCACGGCCACCACTGTCTTTGTGCCAAAAAATATCCGCAGCGGCTGCCGCATTCTAGTATACTGGAGGGTTGTCTCAAAAATTCCGCAGTGAGTGCGTCGAGTTTCTACATTGCTGTAGATCCTTCCTCTTTTGAGATAGATTCCCCCTACCTCCTTAAAAATAAACAATAATTCATACTGCTTCAGTTAAGAAATGCATATTCTAGACTGCTGGATCTGAGCACCTGAGAACGCTAGCGTAATGTACAGTAAGCGTAGAGATTCTGCCTGAGCCCTGCTTTCATTCATGACCACAAATAGTTATTTAAAGAGCCTACTCTAGCATATTATCAACCCTCTTTTCAAATTTTATTATCTGAAACAAACGTGCCAGTGAATTTTAAGCAGAAAATCAACAATAAAGAGTGTGGTTAATTTTAAATGGACAGGTTTTGGGGGTTTTTTTAATTATTAATTTTACAAAGAATTCTTTTCTCCATAGAATGAAATGACATTGCAAATGTTAGTTCCATAATGGCAATTGACCGTAGAAGTTTATATAATTCCTTATGAATTTTTGGTGATTTTTTTTTGTTTGTTTATTCTTAATAGGAAGCAAAGGGAGATTTCAGGTTGGATTTGGGAAGGGGAAAAAAGATATAATAAAAGTTAAAGGGTCACACTACTGGGACAAAATGTATTCACTCGTGATCTCCTGAGCTATCTTTTTGGTGGTAAAAGTGGATGCTACCGATGAAATCTTTACAAGGAGCATAATCCTTAAAAAAAAAAGTCAATCTCCTGCTGGTTGCTGTGTCTCTTTGGTACCTCACAGGCTTCGACAGAGTCCTGGACGAGTGCCCATTGATGTCATGGAAACACTCAAATTACTGAGAATGATTCATGTCTGTGCTGTTCTCTTATCCTCCCCCACACAAATAGAAGTAGATTTTTAACCCTGACAACTTGTAATTTGCAGTGGGTTTATTTTTGTATCTGGATAAATATTTTTTAACAACTGAAATTAAAATGAGGCAGTCTGTGTGTGATATGATAGTGAGGAGGAGGAGGAGGAGGACAGGTATCCACGGGCAGGAAATGGGATTCATTCGCTGAGCTCTTTGTGCAGTGGACTGAATTTGTTGGCTTTATTCTTCTCCCCCTCCCCCCACTTAAAATTTATTGTTTCTCTTCACCAAATAGCTTTTAGAGAAGTTGGTCTTATAGTTACAGAGCGAATGAAGACTTGACAACGTTCTTTTTTTTTTACTTTCAGGATCATTATTTCCCCTGTTTAATCTCTGGTGGAAACAGTCAAGATTGAATCGATTATGATCATTACTACTTTTTTTAAAAAAAATCAAAAATGCCAAATATTTAGTTGTTGTTTGTTCGTAGTGTGCCTATTAAAACCTCTGTTTGTGAGTACTAGATGAGATGGGTAGGACTATTACTGACTCTCACTTTGTGTCTGCTAGTAGATCTTCCTTCCCGCTCTTGCCTATGGCTCTCAGGCTGTGAGCTTTTGGCTTGTGCCTCTTGGCATGTCCAAGATTTAAGTACCTGTAGCAGAGGAGAAGCAAACTCAGTCAAATATTATACAGCTCCTTCTAGTCAGGCAGCCCGGTCATCCCTCCCCTGCCTCTGTGTCACTGTTGTGTTATTTGTAACTTGCATTCTTTTCCATGAACTTTGAATACGAGAAGGTTCCCCCTCAGTGCAGGCCCTGAGCTTCTAAACAGGAAGATGTAACTGAATATAGATTTCATGTAATCAAGTTAATGCATGTAGAGGGTTATGCTAAAGAGCTGTGAAATCACCACACCCACTATTTTACAGTGAGACTTTATTTTATATTATAAAGCCATCTAACATAGGCTGTCATTAACCCAGCTATAAAAAGGTAGAGGTAAAGGTTCCCTTGCTCGAAAGCCAGTCGAATCCGACTCTAGGGTTGCGGTGCTCATCTCTGTTTCAAAGCCGAAGAGCCAGCGCTGTCCTGCCAACCTAGCAGTTCGAAAGCAAGAAATTGCAAGTAGATAAATAGGTACCACTTTGGTGGGAAGCTAACAGCATTCCGTGCGCCTTGGTGTTTAGTCATGCCGGCCACATGACCACGGAAACCCAGCTATACTGGACAAAATATATTACATGGCATTTTGTATGCACTTTTTTGGGGGAAAGGGATTTTTTTTGTGTGTTAAAAACTTTCATTCAGCATGCCTCTAGGAGACTAAAGTGCAGTTTCCCCCCTTTAGTTCAGGGCTTAAATGCAGAAAAAATATATTCCAAATAAAATAACATTCAGTAAAATCAAAGGGCAAAGTGCATGTCTTTGGTAGTAATAGTAATTAAATTATTCATTTGCGGAGGTAATGTACTGTACAGTGTATAGCCAGCTTTTGCAATTTACTGTATGCTTGATTGGAAAAACAACCTGGCCTCTACATTAAATTATATCATTAGACCCAAATACTGGAAGTGTTGTCCACCAGCAGATAGAGACTGTATGGTTCATACGTGAAAGATATCAAGTCACTAACAGCCCATTTTTTTTTGCCTCTTTCCATGTTAAGCCATTTAATCTCAACTCTAGTGATCTTATTGCAGGTGTGCTCTTGGCCACTCTGTCTTAATCTGTCACTTTCGTATCATAGTCTTAATCACCTGGATGGCTTTCATACTGTCTCTCTGGCTTCAGCACCCATGGCTATTTTTTGTTTTCCTCATTGAACAGTGCTGCTAGGTGTTCATGTTTTTCACCAATGAAATTTCTCTCGGTTGATGTGTTAGCCGTCATCCCTACATTTGGAAAACTGCTCTCCTTGGTAAAGTAACAAAACTATCTAGCTAGAACATAGGCTGGCTGAGCAGTTGGTGTGTTAAAGGAAAGTGGAGAACATACAGGAGAATCTTAGAGCTGGCATAGAATTTCACAAGCCATTCAAAGACTTGAGTCCTGAGGCAGCTGAAATATTGAACTGGAATTTTCATTCCCAAGTGTAACTTCTGAGATCAGGTCATTCATTATGGAACTGCAATGGGAAAGAGAATGAAGAATTTGACTTCTGAAAGGTTTCTTTGAGAAAATTACTAAATTTACCATCTGGAGAGTCTCTGATTGATTACTTCTGACCTCACTGGAGAATTCAGTGTAATCAGTGGTACTTGTTATGGTAAGTTCATGACATTGGTGACCGTCACACTGTGTAAATAAAAATAAATATACCCAACTATTTTGAAATAGGTAAGAGAATGAAAAAATAAAGAGGCAGTTCTGGTTGCTTCCATAGAGAATTGTTAGGCCTGTTTCATTTACGTTGTTGGGAAGCATGAGTGACATTTTGAATAAGCACACAGTGTGTTTTCCTTTTCTTTATCATCCTGAAGAATGACAATGCTTAAGAGTGCAATCCTCCAGGAACTTCTCTTCCTCCATTCCCTTTGAAATGAATAGTAGTTGTGCATGAACGGTGTGACACTGCACATGGAGTTCCTGCACAAGTGGACTTCTAATCCAAGTTGGCATCCTATCTACTCCAATGAGTTTATGGTGGATAGGGATGTGACACAGCCCCTGACACTGAACTAAGTGCATGATGGGAGCTGTTATACATATTGGGTTTTCTTTGGGGGGGGTGTACTTGGATGGTTTTGTATGGGTTTTGAAATGATGAACTCACATTATGGTAAATTAAAATATTGCAGGATAAGCTTCGTTTTCCTCTTTGTACATGATATCCCCAGAGATTAGCATCATTTAAATATTATGCATATGTGAATGTATAAATGTTAGTTTGAAAATACAAATGAATTCATTCTATAATATATTATTTTGGGGGGAAATATGGCAGCTAATACATACTTTTTTTTTAAACAGATAAAACAGAAAGGGGCTCCTATTCATCATACGGGAGAGACTCAAACTTACAGGGTTGCCACCAGGTAAGAGTCAACATACAATTACAGAAACATTCTTAATAGTTGGATTGACTGCATAAAACTTCTTTTCTGAGATGCACCAAATGGTTTACAAACTGGACTTGAACAAAAATTAAACGATCTCCCCAAACATATACAGTACAAAAATATAGCTTTCTGTTACTAGCTAGGTCAGTCTCTTAGTATCCTGTTGGTAAACTATTGATCACTCTGTCTCTGAATATTGTGACAGTTGTCACATAAAGACTCAACTTAAGGAATTATAATAGTGTGTGGGGGGGAAATGCCAACCAAGCATGTGTAAGACCCTGCTTTTGGATGGCTATTGCCATAAATTATAGTTTTCATAGAGTCTGTATGATGTTGTGTGAAAACAGGGTTGTATTGAGGGATAAAAATGTCTGTGAAAATATGATTTGTTGTCCCTTTTTGTTTCTGAATTGTTTTTGGCTGGAAGTCAAGGCCAGCAGGCTAAAAGCAAAGCCGTCTCAAGGGAAGCATGCGGGAGCTAGAAAAATAAGAGTAGTTTAATTAAATAATAAAATGCCAATGTAATACAAAGGGTTAGCATGTGTGTGTTTGTGCCTCTGTACACTCTGCATTTGCATACTTTAAACTCTCCAGAGAGTCTAAAAATTGCTATCAATAGCCAAACGTCTAAGCTTCTTTCAAGCCAAGTGATAAAAAAGGATGCTGCAATTTAGTTTCACCAGGAGTAAAACATTTCTGAAAGTTAAAATTCATTTGTCCTTCTCTCTTTCTGTCTTTGTTTTTCATCCCTCCCCCCCCCCAAAAAAAATCTGTAATTCTCAGTTTGGAAAACTATTGGAGAATTATAACCCTTTCAAAAATATTAAACCCTTTGCAGAGATTTTAACTCTGCAAGGAAAATGAGGCAGGCATATTATTTCTCTTTTTGATGTGGTGGTGGGGATGTTCGTTTCCCTTTCTCCTTTTCAGGTGCCTTTGACCCTTCATAATATGGGGAAATAATCAGGGATTTGGGGGTGGGCATTGAGCAACTTCGCTTAATTAACCATGGAAAATATAAACAGTCCAAGTAATTAAATAGAACCTCGCCTTGAAAAGGACACATAGTTAGTATTAATGCATCCTTAGAGCTGGCATTCCATTGCCTTCCTGCATCTGTTTGCTTTTTCAAGTTTTGATTCTGCAGCCTACTCAGATATGCCATCAATTCTATCTGGATCTGTAGCCAAAGATTTGTGGAAATGAGACACAAGAATAGCTGAGTTCAGAACTAAGCACCGCTCGCGTGATCCAGTGCAGTTCATCCCCCCCCCTCACCTTTTGGGGATGGAATTCCAGAGGAAAGTGAATTTGCAGCCATTCCAGGGCAACAACGGAAACATTTTTGGAATGCGAGTGAAAATGTTTGGAGATAGCTTGGGCAATGAACAGCTTAGTGCTCTGTCTCTAGTGTAAAGCTTTCAGTTCCTGTGGAAGGCCTGTTCCTGTGTATCTAGTTTCCGAAGGGTCAAGGGCAGAGGTTGTTGAGACTGAGGGAGAAGGAGATGATGACATTTTTCCTTTTTGCAGGTGGTGGTGGTGGAACAAACTGCAGTTTCAACCAGCCAGCGCCCCCCCCTTTTTTTGTGTGTGGTTGGCTAAGAGAGATTTATATGACTGGACTTTTGCTTTTTAGTTAATCCCAGTTTGTACAGGTTCTTGCTTATCGGTAACTGGCTTTCTCAGCTGACTTCTGTAGAGCAGAGGCCGTATAAACTCTGAAATCACCATTCTGACTGCTTGAGAGTATACATTCTTCAAATACCCCTCCCCTTTAGCCAGCCACTGGAAGCCCTGTCACGAGATTGCTTTTCTCAAAAGGATTCAGCTTACTAATTTTGTTCAAATTTCAAGACCATGTCCTAGAAATCACTGGATGCCAGCGGCTGCCATCTTGCCTGTACTCTTTAAGTTTCCACAGTGATGATGCCACAAGGCTCGGGGAGGGGTGGGGAGCCCTACTCCTTAAAACACGTGTGGAGGAAATTGTCTTTTCTGGGATACCAGTTTAGTTCAGATTGTCCTCAAAATAAGGAAATGTCTGGAGCGGCTTTAAAAACAACAATGTTGATTAACCTTTGATAGTATCTCAGACCAGACATCTCTGGAAGCATGCCAAAGGGGGAAAGAATAATCCAAGAATAGTGATCACCTGCTTCAAAATATAGAAAACAAGCTGTAAGTTGAGTAGCAAGGTCAAGCTCAGTTATTTCTTAAGGAGGCAAATGATAAGGAGATGGGTATAAAAGTGGGCTCAGCCAGGGCAGAGGTGCCCAACCGATGCCATACAAGCCAGATCCAACTACCTGAGCATCCCCCCCCCCCCCGGCCTCCTCAGCGCCCACCAAACAAATGTTTCTCAGTGAGTAGAAAGACATTTGCTTATGGCATATCTTAAGAATACAAGCATGCTCACGCTGGAGCAGTTAAAAGTCCCATCTAGTCTGGCCAGCCAGCTACCCCCAGAGAGATCTTTAGGATATGAAGACACCATCTCTCCTTGGTTATTTCCCAGCAACTGCTGTTCACAGGTACTCTGCCTGTCTGAACAGGAATGTTTTCATTTATTTATTTATTATCGGGGTCATTTCCTGCAGGAGCGCACAGGAGCGGAGCTCCAGCAGTAAAGAGCCCAGGGGGCGGGCACATGCAACAAGCCCCACCCCCTGCTCCCAGCAGCCCTCAGTCAGAGCAAGAAGCAGCCAGGTAAGCTGCAGAGCCCCCCCCCGGCCCAAAACAGTCCAGTGGCACCTTTAAGACCAAGTTTTATTCAGGTACAAGCTCTCCCTCCTCTTTGAGGACAGATCTGCACGTTCCCCCCCCCCCCAATAGCTAGCAATCCAAAACAGTCCAGTGGAGCCTGAGCGGTCGGTGTTGCCTTCTGACACACTTCCGGTCATGTCAGGGTGTGTGGCATATGCAAATAAGTTATGCCAATGTGTTATGCTAATGAGCTCCTGCACCTCTTTTTTCTACGAAATGACCCCTGTTTATTATTCACATTTATATCCCACCCTCCCTGCAAGTGGGCTCAGGGCAGATCACAGCACAGGACCAAAAACAAATCAAGGATTTCAAACATGTAAAGTGTAAATATAAACAATTAAGACAATTTTAAAACAACATAAATTAATACAGAGCACACCGTTTATCCTCATACAGAGGTTTCCAGCTGGCACCATTGGTCTCTCAAACTTCTTAACCTGGGCCACGTGAGATGGTAGCTTCAGCTTCAGCAGGGGAGGCCAAGATTTTATTGGACGCCCACTGCCACCACCTCAGCCGAAGGCCTGGTGGAACAACTCCATTTTGTTGGCCCCTGCAGAATGGTCACAAATCCCGCAGCTACACCAAACAAGAATCCAGTTGGCACCTTAATGACTAATAACATTTATTTCAGTATGAGCTCCTGTGGACCACAGCCTGCTTTGTCAGGTAGATACGTGATGGGAAACTGTATTGGGAAATTTTATGGGGCAGGTTGAGGATTAGGCCTTGACTCCCCACCCCACCCTGCAGCAGTCTGCCCCATAAAATTTCCTAATATGATTTTTCCATTACATATCTATCTGACACAGTAGCCTGTGAACCACAAAAGCCTATATTGAAATAAATGTTTTAGCCTTTAAACTGACGTTGGATTTTTGTTTTATTATGCTACGACAGACCAATGTGGGCACCCCTTTGCATTCATTTAGCTAGCATGGCTAGTAGTCATTTTTAGGCTCATCTTTAACAGCTTTAACTAATTCCCTTGTGAAGCAATCAAAGCCAAAGGCCACCCCAAACATATAGCTCTGCAACTGAATTAATACTTGGCATGAATATGGACTCACCTTTGGCTGTCCTGAATCTACCTGTAGTCAATTTCATCAATGACCCTGAGTTCTTGGGATTCTCTCCTCCCCCCCTTGTGTTCACTTTCTCATAACTATGCACAACCATTCACTATGTTCTGCACACTTTAATATTATTTTTGTATATAATGCTCCAGTTACGTCTCAGCTCCTGTTTCATAACTGTAACACCCCACTTCTTATTGCTAGATGGTGCCAAGTTTATTATGGAGCCAGACTACTTGTGACTGTGAATGGGAAACAGACATACCTGGGCCTGTCTACTATGCAGATAATTCTGGGCGTATAGAAGGAGAGAAGATAAGAGATTGGATTTATACCCCGCCCTTCACTACTCAAAGGAGTCTCAGAGCAGCTTACAAATGCCTTTCCCTTCTCCTCCCCACAACAGACACCCTGTGAGGTGGGTGGAGATGAGAGAGCTCTTGACAGAAACTGCTCTTTTTCAAGAACAGCTCATCAGAACTACGGCTTGCCTAAGGTCATCCAGCCAGGTGCAAGTGGAGGAATGGGGAATCAAACCCGGTTCTCCCAGATTAGAGTCCGCACACTTAACCACTACACCAAACTGGCTCCAGCCATTGTGACATTCTAGTTTGTCCACTTGCTTCCAAGCAGTTCAGTAAGGGAATGCAGAAGGAGGGGGGGAATGTTATTTAGGGCAGCAGAATTGCATAGAACAGTCTAATAACTTTGGCTAAGGCTTGTTCTTAAGTTATGTTTTGTTGTAATTTAATGCAATACGATGTCAGCTCTTGACAGAAAACTTCTAAGATTCAGTAGTAATACAATTAGAAGTCACAATAAAACATATTTATATAATTTTGTTTTTAATATAGACACATTCATCGTTATGGGCTGCATTCAGAGTAACAACAAATCACGGCTTGTCATCACGGCTTGTCATCACGGCTTGTGCATAGTTATGAGAATTTGACCCTACCTGCAGCCGCCGCCGGCGTCCTGCAGGAGGGCTGCCATTGCCTCCACCAAAAAGGAGGAAGGAGCCCAGCTGCAGCTACAACCAGGTCTTCTAGGGGGGCAGGGCCAGAGCCATCTTAATGGCTGGCTTCACCCCACCTGTGTGGGAGGAGTCTTCATGGCATATCCCCTTGC